TCAAGTGACTTTGTAAGACATGTCGCCATTACTAACATTAATGAGTTTTACTGTCATGTAAGCAGAATAGGTCAACTCCCGGTTGTTCATGCTGTGCATAATTGATTCACGTGATCATTGACCGGAGTAATTATACATGTGATATGAATGTGTATATGAATGATGCGAATGGTCCACCAGGGTGTTTGGTACATGTGTAGTGACTCACGTTTATCACGAGAACACGACTGGTTTAATAAAAACAATTATTATTATAACCAAGTGTACCAGTGACTGTTTTAACGTGCTTTTGTTTGACTGTGCTAATGACAGCTATTTTGTTCTTCCATTCTTTACTTACTCTTTGATTGTAACTTCGCGCGAATTCGGTTGCGTTCTGTAACCAAGCTTGTATCCTGGCACGATCTCGGTATCCTTTCGATGCCACGAGATCGCCAGCAAATAAACATCGACTTGGTCCATTAATTGCCTTCTGGTATTCGGCTTCTCGGGGATTTTATGGGGTCATTTGGAACGAGCTACTTACGCCTTCTGATTTATCTGGCACGTGTTTCTTGGTAGCGGTGTTCATAGTTAATCTCAACTCGACGCCACGCTACAATTGGTAATCCCAATACGAATCGACAACAATTGGTGACCCGTATTTTGGAACACGCCTCAGCTTCTGGTCAAATCTTCCAAAGAAGCCAATTCGGTGAGTCTATGATTTATCTATCCACGTCTGTCGTATATTTTCGTATTATTTAATATATAATATACGCGACATGACGGATAACGATAAGAATAGTATTAATATAATAGACTCACACGTATGTGTACCGAATCCTTGTCACTTTTTATTCGCGTGATGATGAATTCCACGCTTTATTCGAGAAATGTTACCCTATTAACGATTCTCCTCGCTGACCCGGCTGCTTGGTACGGAATGCATACGCATAAGCATATCCGTCTACCACCCAGCACCGAATGGTTAAGTTGAACGGTTTCACTGCCAACTTAAAAGTGTTCTACGAGCACACGAAAACGGCAACTGGCACGAAACCTTACCGCTCGTTCTTTTAGGGGGAGAACGAGCTTAAAGGCAGATATCCAATGTTCCGCCACTGAACTTGTATACGGCACGACATTGCGTCTGCCCGGAGAATCCTTCACACCACGGAGCAGACCTAGTTTCGGTAAATCAGACAACGTCCGTCGACTGTCTGCATTTATGTGAACGCTGTCTCCGGTGTCAACTCGAATACAACATCGACAGGTCGCTCTCCCTCGAGAGTTATCTACCTGTTCACATGTTTTTGTACGAGTAGATTCGGTACGCAAACCTTGGCAACAACCTTACGAAGGCCCTTTTCACGTGATCGCTCGTCACGAAAAGACCTTCAAGGTTGATCGACATGGACGCGTCGAGATCGTCAGCGTTGATCGTCTCAAACCAGCACACGTCGATGACAGTGCCCTATCTGGTAACCTGAGATTCAATGCTAGACCTATTAAACCTAGCGGGATCCTTAAATCTTCAGGTCCCACGCTAGATGCATCTGAGACCTCATTCTCACGTCCCGGTCAACAGCACGCGTCATCTGCACCGTCTACGGACGAGACGATAGTCTCACGTCCAGATCAGCAGACCACGCCGCCTCTGACCTCGGATGAGATTGCAGGCTCACGAGATACGAACGAGACTGCCGTCTCACGTTCCGGTCGCCGAGTACGGTTACCCGTACGCTTCCGCGAATAGTCGCACAGTCAGCTACCGATACGGTGTAGGATTATTCCTATACTACACGTATGCTACACTCTTCTTTTTTGATTTTCTTTTTGTTTCCTGAGCCCACGCCTTCGACCATCTCCGTTTGGTTCCGTCGACTTCAGTCAACTTTGGCGAAAGCTGGCCTGATCACCCATGCTCTTGTCAACGTACTCAGTCGATATATTGGTTTCGAATGCTTGGCATACGCTTGGTCTCGAACTTGGTCGTTACGGTCGCTTCTGGTCTTTTGGCTCAACGTGGTTTCGTCCTTCGTCTGCAGCGTTTATGGTCCGGACCCTACGAACGCCCTCTTCAGGTTCTGGATACAAACCACTCTGTGTAGCATGCCGACTCAAGCAACAAATACAGCACATCGCACCTGGTACCGTTCTCCGAAAACGACCTTCGTTGGCAACTCGACGATCAATGATCGCTTTCCTGTTCGCCAATCTTTCCGTCCTACAATCGCTCGTCAGCCGATCAGTCCCACGATTCAAACCGCTATTTATCGAAAGTGTTAACCCTTTCTAGCGGGGGGCTCCTGTAGTGACTCACGTTTATCACGAGAACACGACTGGTTTAATAAAAACAATTATTATTATAACCAAGTGTACCAGTGACTGTTTTAACGTGCTTTTGTTTGACTGTGCTAATGACAGCTATTTTGTTCTTCCATTCTCTTACTTACTCTTTGATTGTAACTTCGCGCGAATTCGGTTGCGTTCTGTAACCAAGCTTGTATCCTGGCACGATCTCGGTATCCTTTCGATGCCACGAGATCGCCAGCAAATAAACATCGACTTGGTCCATTAATTGCCTTCTGGTATTCGGCTTCTCGGGGATTTTATGGGGTCATTTGGAACGAGCTACTTACGCCTTCTGATTTATCTGGCACGTGTTTCTTGGTAGCGGTGTTCATAGTTAATCTCAACTCGACGCCACGCTACACATGTATGGTTGCGTCACACGATTGAGCTGTACTATTCAGATTGTAGCGTTAAAACCTATACGGTGTCTAGGTCTCTGGTCAAGCGGGATTAAGCTGTATTTCTCGGATTATGAAGTTTAAGACTGAACAGTGTCTGGTTCTCCTGGAAACTGGATTGAACCGTACTATTTGGGCTACCATTTTTAAGCGTGAGTGGTGTATGGCTCTCCGGCGAAATATTATTGGCCTGCACTGCTCGGGTTAAGTCTGGGCGGTGTCTGGCTCTCATGTTAAATGGGATTGAGCTGTACTGTTTGGGTTGTCATGTGAACGTCTGGATGGGTTCCGGTTCTCCCGAAAACCAATGTATATTATATATCTATAACTATGTCAATAATGGAAGTTGTCTTCTATGAAACCACTAGTGGATTGTCCATTCCTACAAATTCCGTCATGTTATTTTCATGTGATTTAATAATAATGATATTTCATTCTCAAATACCAGTTTGTTACATGAGGCATAGATGATTTACGAAGGCATTCATCACCGATATCTAACATCATCTCTTGATTGGTTTGCTATAACAGTCATTAGTTTGATTCCTCAGTCATTTTTACAACTACTGCTAACAATTACTTGACGTTTTTAAATGACCGAATCTTATATATAATTTGAAATATAACGGCGATTCGGTCCAAAGTGTTTAAATAACACTTAAGTATTAGGGCAACCCGTACAGGATGTAGATATGTCAACAAGGGACTGATCAATTTCAGTCCTAAACATCAATCGGAAGATTGAAGTAAACAATACCAAGTGAATTTAAACTTCACCCCATTGCACAAAAAATTGGCTATCAGGACTCATTAACTAAGTGGATAACGCGATGGATTTTGAAGCAACCGGTATTGGGTTCGAGTCCCTGGGTGTAAATCAACTGTGAGGTGCAAGTACAACCAGCTGATGAGTCCCAAAAAGGTTGTAACATGGGTCTTCTATTCCATCATCATCCATTTTTGCTTACAAAACTTTTGACTTAAAGCAACACAAAGGCAATTCACAGATGATACACATATGTCAATCAGAGGCCGATCAAGTGCAGTCCTAAACAACAATGGGAAGATATAGACAAACAACACCAAGTAAAATAAACATTTTACTAATTTGTGTTTTTAAGTTCATTTATTTCTGGGAAATCATTTCATCTCCACGTTTTCTGTAAATCTCAGCTTTAGTGAAGAACAAAATGTTGTGGACTAGAAGACCTATGACGGTGTAATGTTTGTATGAATTAATGATTACTCTATACTTGAAGACTGCTTGATGTGGAATTACAGATACAATACGTTCTTCCGTGCTCATCTAACATTTCCTGGTTAAATTGCGTTATTTCTAGAATTCTTAGTTTGTACTCGAATTCAAATACTCCTAATTATAAGACAGAGGGACAACCGAATATATTTTGATACAAAATTACAGTATGACTTTCTAAAATCTGAGAACGATATAGTAAACACTTCATTTGCAAAATATTCATCAATCGTCTCGTACTTGATTGTTCCTTCGATTCTATACCAATTTATCTCTCTTCTCGTTCTTTTTTCTTCAACTTTCTCAACCTCTGCCACTAAGAAATTCACTTTCGGTTGGTGATACATACTACGTAAATCTGTCGACATCAGTAGTACACACTACAGTACGAATAGGGATCTGCACAGATATGGGCACATAACTATAATAAAATCGTAAATACAAATATTCCTATTCATATTCCTTCTCCTCCTCATTCTACTACTACTACTACCACCACCACCACTACTACTACTACTACTCCTTTTACCACTACTACTACTAGGACTACACCTACGACAAAAACAACAAAAACTACTACTACTACGACTACGACCTCTACTACTACTACTACTACAACTACTACTAATACCACTACTGCTACTACTACTACCGATACGCTGAGTAAATATGTTAAAGAATAGAATAGATTCATATGGATCCAATTTCTGGATGATTTATGTAGTTTGTAAATGATATACAATACATTCCGAATAATCCAAAAATATATTGTCTAGATTCATATAATCACACCATGTATACAGTAGTGTACTAATGAGGTCACTTTTAAAACTTGCCGACAGATTCGTAATTTAGATTAATTAGTTTGTTTAATTATTTATTTATAATGAGACTTAGTCCAATTGGAAATAGGATATATTGATAGTAAGTATTTATGTTTACTAACCATCATTCTGAAATGATATAAAAGGAGAAGAAGACGAAGGATAAACAAAATTACAATATTGAATATGATCCATTCATTTGTACTACTTCTTAATATACTTCTATTATTTCTATATGGGTCCACAGGAAATGGTAAATATTGTTTGTTTGAATCTTTTCATTGATGCTAACGAGTGCACTTGATCAATCTCTTGTTGGTATATATGTATATCCTACGCGAATTACCTTGATAGTGCATTCAGTCACAAGTATTATAAGTAGAGATGAATGACAGCCAGCAGTGAAATATGGAATGAGTGTTTCGTTATATTAGAGACTTGTCAATTATATATATATATATATATATATATATATATATATATATATATATATATATATATATATATATACATCTCAGAGTTGATGTTCACTTTGGAACTTCAACCTACTACCATTCGCTTTACACGTAATCATATTATTCACTTAGTTTCAAGCCCTGAAATGAACATTAACACTAGGATATAGGTATATGTAGCTGATAAGTCCAAAATAGAACGAAATTTTCATTCTCAATTCCATTGTTAGCTATCAATCATCTTTACATCTACTATCTATTTATGTTGATTGATTACTAATGTCAATTGTTTATAAAAACAAATATCTGTAAGACATTATCCTTTGTTTTTGATTGAAATCATGAGTCAATTGAAGCTAGACCACCATATGAAATCTGAAAGCACTAGATATCCGTTTCGTCCTAGTGTGGGACTCTTCCGTGGCAGTGCGCATCCATGATCCCGCCTCCGGCGAAATTCGAACGCAGGATCTATCGTTTTCGCGCCAGGCGCTTAACCAACTAGACCACTGAGCTGGCATCCAATGGTGTTAATATCTAATCTCTAGCTTCAATTGACTCATGATTTCAATCAAAAACGTAACAATCACCACAACCCATAAACGGATAATCATCCTTTGTAGTTTATACATTGATATAAGATTTAATGTGTTCTGATAAATACATATTCCTATTACCATGAAGAACTTGAATCATTTCAATGTCATTTGTTGTTTTATAGACTTACATATGAAGTAGTATTAGTAATAGTAGTAGTAGTAGTAGTCGTAGGTGTAGTAGTAGTAGTAGGTGTAGCAGTATTTGTCGTAGTATTGGTAGTAGTAGTATTATTAGTAATAGTGTTAGTAAAGGAATTGATTGTGGTAGTTTTTATAGTAGTTATATTAGTTACAATGACATTAGTAGTAGTAATGTTGTAGTGAACGATCGCACAGATGGTGACAATCTAATATTCTGCATTAAGGTACTACAGAATATCTTGGTCAACTGTGAGAACTGATTCTCTGATTGTTATTCTGAACGATCTCATCAGTACAAACTTCAAACAGAAATGAAGTTTGTATTGATGATTTTGTTCAGAATTTATTCTTATACAAAAATAATATAAACATTCATCAATATCGATATGAATGACAAATAATCGAATATCAACATATTGATAACTACTCTATTTTTAATAGTTCAGATCATGAATTAATTGAAGCTTGATCGTTATGGAAAACCTGATTACATTGAATTTTACTCACTTTTGAAGAGTCCTCTAAGTAGAACAATACAACCGTCCAGTACTTCCAGGTCTTTCACATTGATCTAACTTCAAGTGACTAATGATTTCAACTACTGAAAATTACCCTCATATCTACAAAACCCCTTCTCTGTTGATTAAATATTCTTAACAACTAATTTACAGAATCTATTCAACAACGTATAGAATTATTAAGACATTGTAGACGCCGTATCCAATCAATACTTGGTAAGTTAATGTTTAGTTCATGAAATGTTTTTTTTTTCATTTTATCATACATAAAAGTAAATCAATATTTATCAGAAGGGGTTTTGTGGAGATTCTAGAAAATTCTTTGGTTGAAATCATGAGTCAATTGAACCTAGCCATCCAGTACTTCCAGGTTTTCCGTGGTAGTCTAGCTTCAATTGACTCATGATTTCAACCAGTGAAATTTCTAAAATCTCCACAAAACCCCTTCTGATAATAATCATCTGCTCACTAGTGACTGAATTCGAGAGATATATCCTGGAGTTCTAGTGAAAAGCCGATACCCGTGGAGTTCAACCAGGTCGATTGCGAGATGTCAACTCACTGAAGACAAAGGTGTACGGTGGCGCGACTTGGTGGATTGGTTGAAGTTAGACATTAACGCCTTTGGATGCCGGCTCAGGGGTCTAGTGGTTAAGTGCTCGCGTGCGAAACTGTTAGGTCTTGATTTAGAATCTCGTGGGAGGTGAGGTCGTGGATGCGCACTGCCACTGAAAAGTCCCACAGTAGGACGAAACGGCCGTCCAGTGCATCCAGGTTTTCCATGGTGGTCTAGGTTTAATTGACTTATGATCTCAACCAGTGAAATCAATATTTGGTCAAGTTAATCTTTATGGATTATGTAACATGGCAACACTAATAATTTCTGAACGAATTAATCAGATTTACGATGATAAGTCTCAGATTTTGGTATGAAATTCATTCATCTATTTGGTTAAATAGAGTTTTTGGTATGATAACTGGTGTCAGTTCGTGATGAAAACTCTAAATCTAATTCTTAATCCTAATTATCAACTACAAATCATAATTTTAACTCTTCATACATATTTATAACCCTCATTTATTCCTGGGTATTAAGGGGACACTCAAGGTCACTCAACTGTTGGGGATGTTAGATCCCCAGAACTCACTTGGAAAAGGACCAACTTTTGTCATTTCATTTAGAAAATTTGAATTTCCTTATTTTCGCACCAAAACCGCTCTTGTCACCTCTATGTCGTGTTTCACACTTGGGAAATATCTTAAGTGTTATTAGTCCGTTGCGTCTTTTAGTATGCTATTTGGTAACTCTTCCCAAGGACGGACTTGTACTGTATGTATTCGTTTTGAATTGCGTTTGTTGTTATCGCTCGTTTCTGGCTGTTTGCGGAATATACTTTCATACTCCAAGATTGAGCTTCTTCCTCTGGTTAGCGGGGCTGGGACGCATCAATAGCTGGCTTACTGGTCTTGGTCGCTGAGTCTTTGTTTTCGTTCGCACATCAAGTGAACTCGTGTTACGTTCAAACCTAACATTTACTATCGCCCAAAGATCGTCCATCAATTATAGTCTTATCGGTTATATCATATAAACATAGTAATGTAGCGTACACTAAATCCTAATTTGCTGATGATTGTATAACAAATTCCTGATCAAAACTTTTTTCAATCATTCATAAAATCAGTAATGTGCTTAAAATTGCTATGAACAATATGAACCAATTTATGGAGTGTCTATCATTGAAAATTTGGAAGTATTGGATGGTCGTTTTGTTCTAGTATAGGACTCCTCAGCACGACCTATCTATGATCCGGCACATAAGATTGGAACCCAATACCTATCGGTCTAACGCGCAAACACTTATCTTCTAGACTATTGAGCCAGTTGGCATCCAACGGTGTTCATGTGTGACTTCATTCAATCCTCAGTATTTCACGATTGTCTTCAGTGAGTAACTATCTCACAACTAGGATGAAACGGCCTTCTAATGCTTACATGTTTTCAATGATGGTCTAGTTTAAATCAATTCATCAATTTAACTACTAATGTAGTGAACAAGAACACGGGTGGAGACAATCGAATGTATTCGACACAAAGTTACAGAACTTGTTAATAAAATCTAACAATCAAATAGTAAATACGTAATTTGCAAAGTGTCCATCGATTGACTAAAAATGACTCAGACTTCATTGTTCTTGCATTTTCATACAAATTGCATCCTGTTTCGATTGTTTACTGTTCGATCCTGTTGTCTCTCTGCTGCCAGACCTTTAGTTCACGACTAACATCATCCACTACTTATGTCAATATAAGTAGCACACACCACACTGACACTAATACAATTGTAGTGAAAGAGAGCAGATGTAAGGACAACCGATTAGATTTCGTACAAAATGACAGAGTTACTTGATAAAATACAAACACCATACTCCAATACTTCATTTTGTAAAATGTTCATTAAATGTTTAAGGTTTCATTGTTCTTGCATTTCCATACCAATTACTTTTCGTTCCCTTTCTTTCCTTCTCGATTTTCGAAACTATCTGGTGCCAGATATTCTATTCCTGACTAGCGTTATATACCACTTATTTCAATATAGGTAGCACACACTACCCTCATTCTGATAATGAAAACTTATTGACAAATTGTAAAATAATTCACAGTTTTCTAAGTTTATTTTATTAGTCTCTCAATTTTACAAGAGAATAGTTCAGATCAGATCAGACTGGATCAGATCAGATCACTTAATTTATCAAATAAATCAAAATATAGAAAACTTTTCTTGAATGAATACTTAGTAAACTGAAATCAGTAAATATGATCATATAAAAATTCATGGATGATCATTTTTGAGGAGTCCCTCAACAGGATGAAACTGCTGTCCAGTGCTTCCAAATTTTCCATGATGGTCTAGCTTCAATTGACTCATGATCTCAACTGTAATATCTATAAAATAACCCCTTCTGAAATTCATTTCTATTACATATTAAATTTCAAATGATTTGTATGTTTTTTTAGATGAGAACATCCAATCAGGTCGTGTTAACCCAAATTCATTGGATCAAAGTACGTCTAATTAAACACAAATATTGATGGGCTTTTCTTCAAATAATATTGTTTATTATAGATATACACTGTATAAGCAAACGTTTAGGGATTAAATATCGTGTTGATATTATGACAGGTTTGTACAGTATTATTTTGTTTTTGGCATAAAATTGCATTATATAATAACCAATCTGATTGTTTTTTCCCATTATTGATTAGATTGTATATTCGATGGTGTGTTCCTTAATTTCCCCCTGTTCTCTTTTCCTTTTGGGATTCCAAGTTTAGAATCATCTTATAATGAATGCAGTTTGATCATTTCCATCATGTATGTCCTAACCACCCCCAGCGTTTTTATATAGTTTTCTCTTTAGCTAGAAGCCAGGATATTCTCTACCATAATAAATTATTACAAATAATATCCGGTCAACCGACACTGAGTAACATCGTAGATACTATTTTGATGACTATTGTGGTAATTCTTCAGGTTTCATCTTTCAACAATTACATCTACTACACACATTTTCAATCATTTGTTATGATGGAGAAGATTTGTAGCTGAAGTGGATGATTTTGATGACGTTTTGTTCTTTGAGCTGAATGGTTTGGTCGTGGAGTTTTCATTGTTCTTCTGAATAATATCATCAGTACAAACTTCAAGTAGAAGTGAAGTGTTCGAATTTCTTCACATGTGATACACAGCTTGTCCTGTAAATCTTGATGTTAATTGGTTCCTGTTGGTCTCAAACTTGTCATTGTTTTCTTCTTTATTTTGGTTGTATCTCTCATTGGTTTGATGTTTGATCTTGTGATTGTCCATAATTTTCTTGATTGGTTGATTAATTGGATCGATTTCAATGTGCTTGATGATTGCTGACTGACTTCAGTGCCAAGTTTCTGAAAATTCTCTGGTGTTTTTGGAATCGCCTCCAACTAAAATCTCCAAATTTTTCCAGTCAAATGTGTGTCGGCAGTTGTCCATGTGCATTGATATATGTGGGAACATTTCATGGCATTTGACCACTAATTGATGCTCGTGAAGGTGAAGATGATGAAGGGGGCGTCAGCTTTGTACGATGTAGTGTTTATCGCAGTCGGCACAGTTTATTTTATTGTTGATGTTTGGCTTTTCTTCGTTTGTCGTTTCGTCTTTTGGTTTGCATAGGATTGATTGCAGCTCAGAGAGCAAAACTCTATCTAAATCAATGGTTGCGATTATGAGTCGATTGAAGCTAGACCACCGTGGAAGACCTGAAAGCACTGGACAACCGTTTCGTCATAGTGTGTGAATCTTCAGTGGCAGTGCGCATCCACGATTCTGCTTCGTGAGATTTCAATACGTGATCTATTGGTCTCGTGCGCGAACACTTAACCACTAGACCACTGAGCCGTGTGAATGTATAACTTCAACTAATCCATGAAATTGAGCGACGCATCCATCGTTGTCTTTAATGAGTTACTATTTCACAACTGACCCAGTTGAACTCCACTGGTCATTGATTCTCATTAGAACTCTATAAAATAGCTCTTGGAGACAGTCACTACTGAGTATATGTTGATTCATGTCAGAAGGCGTTTTGTGGATATTGTATCCACATAATTATACATCTTTAAAATGACATTTGAATTATTCATATTCCAACTATACTCCAAAGAATACTGGTCAGTAAGAAAGGAAAAAGAGGATGAAGAAACAAACAAACAAACAAACAAACAAACAAGGAAGCAAACCATCTAATGATGCTTCTATGAATTGAAGTCCTCATATTGTTTTTTATTAAGATGTAGTATATCACACAATCCAATACATTTTAATTTAATTGATGTATGTTATCTATTTCATTTGTAAATATCTTAGACTTTGAAAACATCGTGAATTCTATGGAAAAAACGTATGGTAAGTGCTTGTAATGAATGAATATTTCATATTAGAATGAGGAGGAAGGGGTTTGTGGAGATTTTTAGTAATTTATTAGTTGAATTCATGAGTCAATTGAAGCTAGACCATCATGGAGGACCGGAAATCATTGGATGGTGTCCGTTTCGTCCTGGTATAGGACTTATGAGTAATGTGCATCCAGGATTGCGCTGACGGGATTCGAACCCAGGAACTCCAGCCTCTCGAATAACCTATAGATCACTGAGCCGGTAAGCCCACAACCGTTCAGGTACGGCCCAGATTGCGGAGGGTCAGCCCTCCCTCTCGAAATACTCTCACAAGGCCACGTGCCCACAAGCACTTCCAGAGAAGTCCTACACACTGCATTCTCGTGGCATTATTGTTGTTTGCAAGTCTGAGAGAACGAAATGCGAATGTCCGGCGCTTTAACCGGGTTGGTGGATACGGAGGATCCACTTAGGAATGTTGGGAATCCCTGATTCCAAGCCAATAGTGCACATGATCTCCAGCATCGTGAAGTAACAGATGGCATGTGAACCAGTCGTTGGTCACCGGCTGCCATGGGACTACATCTCCTGAAATCAAAGGCTCCGAGTGTGGCTCCCTGAGGAAACCACCTGTTCGATTTGAGCACACGCGCAGTATCCTAGCCCTCACACAAATCGAATGATTTATGTGGCACATATCTATTTGGTGCCTGCTTGTACCAATGTTTACGTGTTTAAATAATAATAATAATAATACTCAGCCGGCATCCAACTGTATCTTAATTCAACCAATTCTTGAAATTGTGCCATCGTTCACCATTGTCGTCAGTGATTCACTATCTCACAACTGACCCGGTTGAACTCCACTAGTCATTGATTCTCACTAGAACTCCATGAAATAGCTCTCGGAGACAGTCATTAGTAAGCACTGGTGGACGGTGGTTCAATTCCATGGACTGATTGACGTCAAACAGTAACACTATTGAATATCAACTCAATGGTCAATAGGTTAAGTATTCGCGTACATGACTCACAGGTCCTTGGTTCTGTTTCAGTTCTACATACAAGATCATGGATGTTGACTGCTAAGGAATTCCATAGTCTAGGACGAACACAACTATCCAATGCTTTCAGGTTTTCAATGATGATCTAGCTTCAATTGACACATTATGAAATGAAGCTTATCTTCATATTATGTAAATGTAATGCTTTGATTTTATTCAAATAGTTGTTGATTATTTCTATTTATAAACTATGTAGATATAAATCATCCGAAATCCCTTCAAATAAAAGAATGTTTTAACAATGAAAGAAAAATTTATGAAAGTTAGTTTAAACATTCTGTTGTGTTTTATAGGAAATATTCAATTATCGTGATGGTTTGATGTTAGTTGAAATGAAAGTGAACTGAGAGAGAGAGAGAGCATTTTGAGAGGGAGTGCGGACACTACTAACTCTCCACCGTACCTGGGCATTTGGAACAGAAATATTATTCATAAATGATCTACGTGTATATTAACAAAAGTAAGGTGTTCATTTTTGTAGTCGACAATGGTCAGTGATGTGTGTTTCTTTGAAGGACTCAAATTTATGGCATCTAGTTTCATGGTGTAAGAAGTTGTCATACTCTAAATATGTCACTGGCATCATTTCAAACCATGAGTTTGAGTAACACAATTTCAAATCTCAAAGGGAATATTGGTTACTTCATTACCCTACAGATGCATTATTTCCCCTAAAGAATAGGTCCATAGTTTACTGATGATAACTTCAGTGAAACACTTAACATATCAATAAACAGAAAACTCATTCTTAACAACTAACATTATGTGATAGATCCATAGGGAATTAATAAAAGATATGAGATCGATTATTTTGTTGATTGAGATCATGAACCGATTGATGTTAGACCACCATTGAAAACCTGGAAGCACTGGTCGGCCGTTTTGTCCTATTGTGGAACTCTTCAAAGTATGTGTCGGACTTGCGATTCGAACTCACACTCACATCATGGATCAGAGCACTCTTGAGTCTGGAGTTTTAGACCACGTGTCCATTCTGGAGTCTCGCAATATGACAAAGCGGCCGTCCAGTGCTACCAGGTTTTCAATAGTGGTCTAACATCAATCGGTTCATGATCTCAATCAAAAACTTAATCATCTCCACAATTCAATACTGATCTATTATTTTCGTCATTATTTCTATTATAATATACAGTTAGGTTTCAAGATAGAAACTCGTAAAACTTACCATTTATTTTTGTATTTAAACAGATGTGAGAAGTGAATACAACCAAGAAATATGTGATGAACTTAAACAACTCAATCAACGAGGTATATATTTTGCTGCTAAGCTGCGTTCACTTTTTTTGAAATCATCATCCCATCTGATACTCGTCAACCGGATGTAACGGCATCCCAGAGTTGATCTTCATTCCGGGACTCGAACATAGTGTTATTTGCTGCAAAGACCATCATGATACCCACTTAGCTATTGAGTCTTGATAGTCACTTGTTTGTGTATTGGCCTGAAGTTTAAATTCACTTAGTGTTGTTTTACTTACATCTGCTTATTGATGTTAGGGACTGTAATTGATCAGTTTCTTGTTGGCATATATGCATCCTGTTCAGATTGCCTCGATATTGCCCTTAGTTTTTGATGGAGTTTTGTTCTCTGAGCTAGATGGTTTGGTCGTGGAGCTTTCATCGCTCCTCTGAACGGCATCATCAGCAGCACAAACTTCAGATAGAAGCGAAGTGTTCGAATTTCTCCATATGTGTTTCACAGCTTGTTCTGTGCATCTCGATGTTGATTGGTTCTTATGGACCTTAAATTTGTCATTGTTTACTTCTTTGTTTTGATTGTGTCTCCCATTAGTTTGATTTTTGTTCCTATATTTGTGCATGATTTTCCTGATTGGTTGATAAATTGGATTGATTTCAATTTGCTTGTTGATTGCTGATTGATCTGAGTGCCAGGCTTCTAAAAATTCTCTGGTGTTTTTGTAGTTTCCTCTGTCCAAGAGTGTGGACACTCACAGAACAAGCTGTGAAACACATATGGAGAAATTCAAACACTTCACTTCTATCTTAAGTTTGTTCTGCTGCTGATGTCGTTCAGAAGAAAGATGAAAGCTCCACGACCAAACCATCCAGCTCAGAGAACAAAACTCCATCAAAATCATCCACCTGAGCTACAAATCTTCTCCACCATCTGAATTGCCTTAAGTCACAAGCATTATAAACAAAGATGGATAGTGGCTAGTAGTGAAAATGTTTTATGATAACAATTGTTATCATATTTTATGACAGAATTAAGATAACAAGACACTAATCATGTTTAATTTTTATGAATACAATACAGAAATGGATGGTTTGATCGTGAAGCTTTCATCTTTCTTTAGAACGATAAGAACTATTCAACATTGAGGTCTACAGGACAAGCTATGAATCATATGGGAAGAAGTCTGAACATATCACTTCTATCTGAAGTTTGTGCTGATGATGGCATTCAGAAGATTGATGAAAGCTCCACGACTAAACCATCCTGTTCATTAGTATCATTTGATGTAATGTTGTAGGAGTGATTAAGGAGTTTCACTGGTATTTGCCCATTTTCTAACATGAACTACATGTTTATTTATTTAGATACTGATGAACTATTGAGCTGGTTGACTATTCTAAATCTACACATCAGTTATTTAAATTTTGATTTATGTAAGTTAATCTAGTTTTATATTCAATAAGTTTGGTAACCATGTCCAACACCGGTCATCATTGCACGTTGTGGTAATCGGTGTTCAGACAAACGTAACACGTGGCCCAACCATCTCAGTCGATGAAGATTCACAACCTCATCAAGTGATTTACCATGATTCTCCAATACCATGCGTCTAACCTCACTATTACTTACCCGGTGATCCCAGTTGTTGTGTTAATGAGGTATGACAACTTGGACCGATGCATATATGTGCCTGGTCCTACGTTGTAGCTGACTGACTGACTGAAGTTTGTTAAGACTATAATTTATGAGCAAACCAGTTAGATTTACGATGAAAGGTCTTGGATATTGGCGCGAAGTTCACTCATCCATTTGGTTTAATAGAGTTCGTGATGAAAAACCCTTAAATCTAATTCCTAACCATTAAGCATCAATTGTAAATCATAATTCTATTTCCTCACACAGGTTTATCAATCTCATTTAGCTCTGGTCAGTAGGTGGATATTCTTGAGACCACTTTAGCGTTGCCCAAACGTCGTCCATAAATTATAGTCTTACCATCAGTTCTATTCTACAAGTAATTAATCATTGAGTATTGACTATTGTTATTTGCATGAAGTTCATCTCAAACTTGGTCAAGTTCTATCGAACAAGTAACAATTTGAGTACTAGTTTAATGACTCGATAGCATGTTCACTATATTGATATATGAGACGGTTAGTGGCAGTGAATAGGAAACTCTGATCCAAGACGGTGTTGATTGTTACTCTCCACACTGGTTTATAACCGTCATTTAGTTCTAGTTAGTAGGCGGATATTCAGAAAGTCACTTGAATGTTGCTCAAACGTTGTCCATAAATTATAGTCTCGTCGCAATCGTAGATCTTCATGTAAGACGTAAACAGGAGATTTTCAGTTGATTTGATGTTATATTTTAAAATAACAAAACATTCACTTTAGTGTTTGTATTTTCATAGTATCAGTCACGAACCGATCATTACCTAGACCCTTATTGAAAGTCTGAAAGTGACAAATAGCGATTTCATTCCAGTATAGGACGCTTTACGAAATCGTATCCACTATCACGTCAGAAGGAGTCGAACATAAGAAGTTCGAACTTTTCGTCCGAACACTTCACATCTACACTATTGAAACGTCAGATATTGATATGGATATTTATTCAACTTTATCACAATTTATATAGTCAGATTTTGTTTATTATTTTAGTTAAATATCAGTTCCGGTCAGAACTTGCTAGTGTCGTAACCAGTTAGAATGAAATATGTAAGTGGAACCTTGAATAGATTTGACTAATTGTGAACAATTCATGTTATATTCCTTTCATAAGATAAAAATTTATAGAAAAGAATGAGTGAACTGAAGAAGAAATAATGAGACGCTATCTATCTATCTATCTATCTATCTATCTATCTATCTATCTATCTATTCACACATCTATCTATCTATCTATCTATCTATCTATCTATCTATCTATCTATCTATCTATCTATCTATCTATCTATCTATCTATCTATCTATCTATCTATCTATCTATCTATCTATCTATCTATCTATCTATCTATCTATGTCTGTCAACCAACACCAAAGACAGAACTCTCAATACAAATGTCAAGACAGTTCTACTGTATGAGGTGGAAACTTGGAGAACTACGAAAGCAATCATTCAGAAGATACAGGTGTTTATTAACAGTTGTCTACACAAAATACTTCGGTTCCGTTGACCAGACACAATTAGCAACAACCTACTGTGGGAGAGAACAAACCAGATTACAGTGGAGGAAGAAATCAGTAAGAAGCGCTGGAAGTGGATTGGACACACATTGAGGAAAGTACCCAAATGCGCCATAAACCAAGCCGTCACTAGGAGTCCTTCATATCAAAGGAGAAGAGGAAGACCAAAGAACACACAACGCTGAGACAGATATGCGAAGAATGAACAACAATTGGATACGACTAGAAAGGAAGGCGCAGGACAGAGTGCGGGTTGGAGACTGGTTGTCGGTGACCTGTGCTCCACTAGGAGTAAGAGCTACTTCATAATACATCTTGAACCGTAAATGGTGAAGCGCAGCACTTTAGCTGATGTCAATTTCTGATGAGAATCCAAAATGTTGTCACTATCCCTAATCATCAATTGTAAACGATAATCCACATCCTTCATACAAATTTAAAACTCTTATTTAACCCTAGTCTGTAGGTGAACATTCTGAAGGTCACTTTCACGTCACTCAAAGGTCGTTTATAAATTATAATCTCACCGGGTTTTGTAAATGTATACTGTAATACAATGATAATAATGATGAAATGAATGAGAACACAAATGAAGACTATTCGAACGTAGTTGAACATAAATAATTATAGAAGATGTTAGTCAAATCTGTGAATCATCCACTGAATACTTTATTTGCAAAATCACACTCAATTGTCTCAAACTCTATTATTCTTTCATTTTCATACCAACTGATTCGTGTTCCCATTCTTTTCTTCTTGATCTTCTTGTGATACCAGACATTCCATTCCTAACTAGTGTTCTATACTACTTATATCGATATAAGTAGCACGTATCACAATATTAACATCCCCGAAGAAAAAACAATTATTTATTTACTTATTTATTTTAACACATAGATGTTGGTACAAGGAGGCACCAGATACATATGCGCCACACAAATCTTATTTGATTTGTTCGAGGGCTGTGATACTCCCCGAGTGCTCAAACCGAAGCAAGTGATTTTCTTAGGGGGCCAAACCTGGAGCCTTCGACCTGAAGGTCTGATCCACAAGGCAGTGGAGCATCGTAATTAAATGCATTCCCATGGTAGCCGGTGACCAACGATCGGTTCATACATTTCTATTGACTAATTTATCTTTAAAATCGTATCATTCATTGATTCAATATGCACATATATCAGAAGGGGTTTTGTGGAGATTGTAGTAATTTCAACAGTTGAGATCATGAGACAATTGAAGCTAGACAACCACGGAAAATCTGGAAGCACTGGATGACCGTTTCGTCCTATTGTGGGACTTGCTTCAAGAGATATATCCTGGAGTTCTTGTGAGAAGCAGTGACCAGTGGAGTTCAACCGGGTCAGTTATGAGATAGTAACTCACTGATGACAATGGTGGATGTGTCGCTCCATTTCGTGGATTGCTTGATGTTAGACATTAACACCATTGGATGCCGGACAGATCAGTGGTCTAGTTGGTTAAGCGCCTGGCGCGAGTCTCGCGGGGCCTCGATCGGGGGTTCTCACTGCCGCTGAGGAGTCCCATAGTGGGAAGAAATGGCCATCCAGTTCTTCCAAGTTCTCCATGATAGTCTAGCTTCAATTGACTTATGATCTTAACTGTTGTTCATATGATATATATGTTAATTATCCTACAATTACCCATTACAATTGTAGATTGAAGTTATGATGATGATGAGGATGATGGTGATAATGATGAACGAGTATTGTTTATATAATTATGATCAACTTGTAATGAATGATTTCTAATGTACTAACAAATAACCAATTGTAATTTGTTCTGGTTTCTTATGTAACCAATCAATTCAATCAATAATGATTATTCTGTTCTTTTTCTTTTCAATTTTAATAAACCATGGAATCTCAATGGGAGTGAATAGGTGGATGGTTGAGTAAAGAGTGTATGTGTGTAGGGGGGCGGGGGAAATCAATATTTTACAATCGAATAAATGAGATTATTAGATAGAGATAATTTAGGACTTCCATCGATACTTTATAAACAAAGATGGATGATGATTAGTAGTGGAATTTAGGAAGAGTGTTTCATCCTATTTAGGACTTGTCAAATAGATGTACTTGCATTGCACAGTTAATGTTTCCTTCAGGATTCGAACCCAGTACCATTCGCTTCAGATACAATCATATTATCCACTCAGTTACTAAGTCCTAATAGCCACCTGCTTGTATAATGGAGCTAAGTTATATTCAATTGATATGGTTTACTTGTATCTTCCCATTGTTGTTTAGGACTGTAATTAATCAATCTGTTGTTGGTGAATGTGTATCCTGTTAAGATTGCCTCCATATTGTCTTCAGTCATAAGCTTTATCTCATCTAGACTGTTTCAGTATAAATTAATTGTATCTGTAATAATGTCAATGGTTAAGATCATGAGTCAGTTGAAGCTAGACCACCACGAGAAACCTGGAAGCAGTGGACGGCCGTTTCATCTTATTGTGAGACTCCCCAGCAGTGCGCGAAACGTCGGAAGATATGAATATATAAAGGTTGGTATTCCTTAATGATGTATAATGTGACTGATTTATATTTTATAAATGTCATTCGAAATAGAAAGACCAAAACAACTACAGGACAACGAATATTAGAAGTCCACGTCTTTTGAAATAAATAATGCACATAGTGGAAGTTGTTATCAGTATTCTGGACTCAACTGTACGAACAAGGCATATAAAGGACTAATGAGGACACTAGGCTATTCATACAAGTCGAACATCCATCGGCGAATAAATCACATAATAACTAGTCTAGATTAAAGTCACAGCAGTGACAAAGACTGATCATTCTTATTCATTGCAAATATTTTGACCACTATATAAAACGATATTTTCATTGTTCATTATACAAGATAAATGAATTTCATTCAAAAGACTTAAAGTTAATTTCCCGATTCTGAAGATTCATTTCTACCGGTGGAGTTCAACCAGGTCTTTTGTGAGATAGGAAATCACTGAAGACAATGGTGTACGGTAGCTCAACTTCGTTTATTGGTTGGAGTTAGAAATTAACACCATTGGATGCCAGCTCAGTGGTCTAATTGGTTAAGCGCCTGACGCGAGACTGATGGATTCTGGGTTTGAATCTAGCGGGATGGGATCGTGGATGCGCACCGCTGAGGAGTCCCAGAATAGGACGAAACGGCCGTCCAATGCATCCAGGTTTTCCATAGTGGTGTAGCTTCAATTGACTCATGATTTCAACCAGTGGAAATTCTAAAATCTTCACAAAACCCATTCCGATCATTTCTATATGTTCACATGAATTACTGAAAACTAGTAAGTAGTATATATAATACACAGTTTGTCTTAAACTGATATTTTACATAAAACCATCAGTTTAACACTAAATTATCTTACTGACTTTATTATTATTATTATTATTATTATTATTATTATTATTATTATTATCATCGTCAAAAATATAAGATGACAGTTCTTATTCTATTTACATCATAATTCAACCCAGCCATTGAAAACCTGTGAATGTGATACGGCTGTTTCATTTTACTGAGCCACTCCTCACCAACAGTGATGTAAAACTTTCAATCACGTGTATGAATGGGTTCATAATCTCTATAAAATTCAATAATCTTCACAACTTACATATTGATAAATCCCATTTACAAATTTATAACATAGATTAATCCAATGTCAGGAGATAATAACAGGTAGTGTCCATTGGTTAGATTGTATTAGGTTCCTATGTGATTAGATTGTATGCATAGGTAAACAGTCATATAATTTCTTACTGTTTCTAGTATGATTATCAATTAAGATAACCTATATAGTTAGTTGGAGCAGTGACCACGTATATATCAATCGATATATCGATCGATGCCCTGGTATGGCCGAGAGTGAGGAGGGTCCGCTCTCCTTCTCGAAATGCTCTCAAATGGCCACGGGCATACAACCACTGTCAGGAAAGTCAAACTCGCTGCCTTCTTGTAGTGGGGGTGTTATTTACGAAATTGGGAGGACGAAAAATCAATGTCCGACACTTTAACCGGGTCGGTGGACACGGAGAGTCCAACTAGAAGAGTTTTAAAGGTCTGATTCCAAACCAATGGTACACATGGGCTGCAGTATCCTGAAGGAACAATGGCGAGTGAACCAATCGTTGGTCACTGGCTACGATGGGACTTCATATCCCTACATTACTCCAGTGCCTTGTAGATTAGACCTTCACGTCAAAGGCTCAAGGTGTGGCCCCCTAATAAAACTACCTGCTTCGATTTGAGCACCCGAACAGTATCCCATCCCTCCCATAAAACGAATGATTTATGTGGCGCACATCTACTTTGAGCATAATTTACACCATCAAATCGGAAAAGAAGATTTATATCTTCTGAGAATGATTTCATTTTTGCGATGTATACTACTGATGAAGACAGATATAAGTATTATGTATCATGAATCGGAAGTGAAATGCCTGGTGGTAGAAGGTAAAAAAAATGATCGAAGAGAACGACAACAGAGAATGATTGT